CATATCGCACATTCCTACCTTAAGGTAACATAAGGAAAACAAAGTATTTCTTTGGCTGTGTCTAAAGCAAATTCATTGACTGACTTATAAAAGCTAACATGGATGAAAAGTCTTGTTTGTGATTAAAGACTAAGAAGCTTTGTTTGTAATTGATCWTTTAAAAAAGTCACAATGAAAGCTTTAGCAAAATAAGTGTTTAGAACCTTAAATTTTAACACCATAGTGTTAGACTTAGTAACTTGAAGGAATCGGTGGCTACTCTCTTGACAGATGTGATATTTTTTTTGTTTTCTTCCTACAGAAATTTGTCAGCAAAGTTGAAGAAGTTTTCCTTTGCATTTGCTGCCAAGAAGTGGTCTTTCAGCCCATCACCACAGAATGCCAACACAATGTCTGCAGGGTGAGAAGCTGATATTTGATTTTATTAATGAGGCAAAGGTTTTTTCCCCCTTTTTCGTTAGTATTTACTGTAAATRGTGACGAAAAGCACGTTTTTCACTGTTCATTACTGGCAGGTTTGTTGAGGTCTGCTTGTCATTTTTCGAAGGGACAAGGACAAACTGGGGTTCTATCAAGCAATGGAGGTGGTGATAAAGGGTTATTGACATGAGAGTGTGGCAGGAAGAATTGCATCACCTCAACATTGTTTTTTTTATGGGCCTCTTTTCACAATTTSTCACCATCTTTTTTTGTTTTTACTATACAGGATCTGTGGCGATTAGTATTTCTGTTAACTGCTCGTTTTACTTTTTAAACATTTGCAATACCAGTTTTTTTGTAGAGGTTTTGCTTATATTTACCAACGTGAAACGTTACACAAGAAAGTGAAGTTTATCCTATGCATTTTAAGCTTAAGTTCTAAAAATGCACATCTYCATTTTAGCTCTGTAATTCTTACTTTCAACAGAATAACCACACAACAATTTGAGGACTGCATTCTTTATTATTTTTTACTGTTTCATTTGATTTTGTACACATTAGTTGCCAAAGTATTAATTGTCTCATCACAGTGGTCATATTGTCCAAACGGAGACCTTATAATGACCCATTCCATTTCWGTAACAACAGCCACGAAACTCCTCTGCTTGTTAAGTTGTAAATATTGCAGTGTACAAAGGTTTTTGTTTTAAGTGGTTTTGTTCTTTTTCACTTTTAGGAATGTCTTCAACGGTCGTTCAAGGCAGAGGTGTACACCTGCCCGGCCTGCAGACACGATCTGGGCAAGAACTACTCCATGTCCGTCAACAAAGCGCTGCAAGACATTCTAACCCAGCTTTTCCCAGGATACAGTAATGGGCGATGATCATTGCTTCTACTCACTCAGCCCTCAAGGAAACGCAGTGAAAACTGTAAGGGGCATTTTCTGACGAGGCAATAAAGAGTCCGTTTCTTTTAATATATTTTCTGTGATTATAAAGTTACAATACTTGTGGGCTGAAATTCTTCAATTTTTATAGTCAATTTGCCATGTTATACTGTTTTTGATAAATTGAGAATTTCTTTGTAACTGGCTGTACCGTTACTAAATTAACAGGAATTTAGATTTTTACTGTTTTGTCCTATTAATGATTGCTTATGTCCATTATTTAAATTGGGCCTTCCCCCCAACTCTTTTAAATTTGTCTACGTTTAGCCCTCGTTAAAATATTTACTCGAGTGGTTAAGTCACTTTCAAAATTGTCTCAAGCTTCTTTTACACAAGACTCTTAGGTGAATTATTTTACGTTTTGCCATTATGGTGGCCACAAATGTTTTTTTTTTATTTTTTGGTGCTGTTAAAAAAATTTAGAGTAGCATTGTTGAATTTTGTCCAAACATGATTAGTAGATTGAAATTGCACTAAAATTACAAGAAAGCAAAGAGGTTCAGTCTGAATATTATTAAAGTGTAAACCAAATTTTACCAACAAACAGCTGGGTTTTTCTACTTCACGCAGTCTGATAAGTGTCTTACTTAGAAACCGTGTCATGAAACTTTGTACTGTTTTTTTTACAATTTGTATAATACTTTATTGATTAAATATTCTTAAAAATTAGATAAGTCTTTGAAAGGCGATTGATTGAAAAATAAACTATAAGGTGACCGATTAAAGATTTCCTTCTTTTTTATTTTTAAGATTTACTTTGAAAATAGTCCAAAGGATGATGCTTAACCAAGAGTAAAGTAGAATTCCCATATCTCTATATAGCTCTCTAGATGTTGACCCTAACGAGCTTTTTTTTGATCGTAGAGAATTAATTTTGTATCTTTGATAAGGTTAAAATCTATGCTTATTCACCTTTTCAGAATTTGTTGATGCCACCCAAGTTACGTTAAGTTTCTATTAAGCCTGAAAATGCTAATACTGCTTATAAAATTTGCTAGCATTTTATGTGAACTGAATTTAAATATATTTTTCCCGGTTCCTATTGTATAAGTAAATGTTTTGTTAAAGTTCATTAACTGTAATTTTTTTAAATGCAAACAGTTCGTATTTTAACAGACAAATAATTGCATATGCTGAAAAATGTATATTTTTCTGAAATTGTACAATTTTCTTTAGACCTTTTTTGCATTTGTAGTTTTAGAATTCCTTGCACATATTTGCAGAATTTTGTCAATGCATTTCAGTGTTAAATAAAAAAAATGCATTTAAATTTGAGTGGTGTGTGTAGATGTATTTTGAACACACCAATATTTGTTCCATTTTTAATTTTTCAAGATAAAAATGTTTTTCTTTTGAACTAATTAGAGGTACAATGATGAGCTTGTTTGTGAAGGTAGAACCGTATCTTCACCCTAATCTGACAACTTAAATAAGGTTTCTGGGGAAACGCAGTCTATTTACAGATCTTCAAAAGATGGAGAAAATTAATATTATCGCCTTCTCTGGTATTTATAGAGACCTCTGCAAAACCCGGTAGTGCGTACGTGCGTTTGCGTGTAGTAAACCTGTATGGAAGTTAAATGTGATTGGTTGTCTTGTACGTCCGTTGCCGAATCCATCAATCAAATAAAAGAAACCATTTCCAAGCAACGCCCATTAGCTACGTTAGCCAACCAATCATAATACACAATGACAGTGGTGGGCGTGACTGGAATCAGCCACAACCAGAAGCTAGCTAAATGCTAAAAGGAAATCGATAAGAGGATTTATTTACTAACTAAACGAAACCAAGCATTTTGAGGAAAACGGGAAGAGTAAGATATTTTACTGCAGGAGGTAAAAAATAATCCCAACACGTTTTTATTGCATGACGGTTTAGAGTCATTGTTTATCGTTTAGTTTGTGTTTTGCTCTGTCGTCGCGGTGTTTTTTTTTAAGTAGTTAGCTCGAGGCTAGCTAACGTTAAAAGACGGCAAGCGGAGCCTTTTAAATGCCATCAGGACTGAGTTGCATGTTTGTTGTATTCAAGAGATTGAAAGACTGCACTAGTTTTGTGTAAGTTCTCTATTTTGCTCATTGCGAGCGTCTTTTGTTACGTCTTTCTATCGCTCTGTCATCTTGAATAAGATGCTAGTAGAGTCAGCTGTGAAGGCTAGCGTCGCCTTGAGTTGTTGAAGGTGAGCAATAAATTACTACTACTTCTTCAGGGGGGTTGCTCAACAAATACTATAGTATTTTAAACGTATTTTACGAGTTATACTGTCCAAAATTTTATTTAGGAGGAGCGCTCAATACAGCGTTTAAATATGGGTCAGGCCTTATGAGTTAAAGGGTCCATATATAGGCCCCTTTTTGTTGTTGTTAGACAGCTGGAGTTCATGTGGCCTTCTTTCTGTTTCTCCCAGTAAGCCAGGTTGAAAATTTGAAGTGCATTTACTAAAAGAGTCTTCTTATATTTGGACCATTTTTATAAGATGAAGTTTTTCTGTAATTTTATTACAACACTCACTACTTGTTTTTATTTAGTTACAGCATACCAGACTGACGTTGAAAACTAGCAGCATATTTCCTGTAGTGAAGGTTTTCTTAACCTTATGTAAACGTGGTTTTGGATTTTATATTGCTTTAAAGTGGCACATCYCTGTACAAACAAGTTGTGTATTGTAGGTGGCATTTGTATGTGAGGTTGAACGAAACACTGCTTAAAAATGCAATGGWATGTTTTTATTTTAATGGGTCACAGTTTAGTAATAAAGTATAAAAGTATAGTAATAATGTCACGTTGTACATTAATGGAAGTGTTTTCTCCGCTGATGACAAAAAAAGCGTGGTCACCATCTAGTATTTATGCATTTTAAATCATACTTTGCTGTACAGAAAMTTATTTTAGGGCTTCACTTACATTAAGTAAATGCAGCAGTACGTAAATGCATAAGAATATACTTTTTACAAGTAAAAGTYCTATAAGGTTGTGTTCCTATTCAGCGATTCAAATAATGCACATAATTTCTATGGTTTTACTAATCAGGACATAATAAAAATATCTTGTTGTTAATGTGAAATAATAATGAAAATATTAACTTTAATTTAAATCACACATGACAAATTGACACTGCTATTTACTTAACAAACACTAAACCGAAATGCAAAGCAGTGTGTGGAAAAAACAAAGTAGCTTTTAAAATTCAACTTAGCTGCACCAGCATGAATAAGTCACCTCCTGTGTGGTCTTATCAGTTTTTCACATTCTTGTGAGAAAGTTTGTTCACTTTTTACAAAGTTATCTTATACAACTAGGGGTGTGTCGGTTGATTGGCTAGTGATCAAAATCAGACAGTATTCTTCTTGACTAATGACCAACTTATTTAACCCCTAAAAAAGTGTTTTCCCCTGCGAAATCCATATATGCACCARAGCTATTGTTTTAACTTAAACAATCAGTTCAAACAGAACACAAAACCCCCAGCTCCACAGAGGTGGAGGCCTCCGTTTTCAGTTGTCCCCCTCCTACAGCGTGGCCATTGCCAGTATCACTCCACCCCCTGTTAACAATAAGTGTTAATTAGGTGTCAACGATAGCCATGTGATGTGAGTATCAGTCACAYGGAGGCWSKGCTTAAAAGCCTGAATTTTGCCTGAAACTCTCAGACTGAAGAAGTCTCTTGGAGGAGAGACGAAACGTTTCATTAGAGAAGAACCCATCCAGAAGACCTATACAATTTTTTTCTTTTTGACAAAATGTCTATCTATTTTGGTAATTATAGTTCTTAGTGATTAATAGATTTGATCAAAATTGAAATTGTCAGGCAGACATACAAAAAATAATAATGGAAATAATGTAACCAATAGGTGCCGTAATCAAATGCATTAGATTAACTGATCATTAGTAAGTGTAAGCACTTTAATAACAAATGTTTTAGTAGTTTACTTATATCATCAATGGTTTTTATTCAATTTTAATGATTTTCTTGGTTACTGGAGTTTTTTATTTATTATTATTGTTGTTATGATTATTTTACACAATTGTCACAAAGCTCAAACTGACTCAGTAMTAATTTGTGCAACAAACAATTCAAACCTCATCAGTTTGTGTGAAAAGTTTGTAAAGATGGAAAATATACCGTATTCTTAGGTTAGGAATGGCAAAAATAATGTTATCATAATTTGTGACAAAAATGTAGAACTTGGATGCTATTTGTTGAACTTACTTCATCTTAGAATATTATAAGGTAAAGTGTTGGGAAGAAGCTATATTGCTGTTGCTGTGAGGCTTTGTTGTGATTAGTCCACAAAGTGGTAACATGTTATTATTTTTTTGAATGTTTTTTTGTCACTTTAAGAACATGAAATGCATTCAAAGTGCTCTAACCACACACTCATGCTGTTYTTCACAGATTTACCTGCAAACCCTCTAACTTTCAATGGCTACCGACATTCCCATGGACACGGTGCTGGCTCCTAACCCCGTTCCATCCTCACCCCCTGATCCTGCCCCGGCCTCCTTTCCTGTTCTTGACACCAGTGGACCCCAAGACCAGATTCCCACCCAGGAACCAGCAATTGCTGAAACTCCTGATAACGTAGTGGCTTCAGAGCAAAATGCAGCTGATCCAGAWCTCACTCCAGTTCAGCCTGCAGACTCAGGCATGACTTCAGTTCCTACACTAAGTTCGGAGCCACCACCGATACCTCTGCAACCACCCTTGCCTCCAATTGCTGCCAAAAACCCCAGCTGCAAGATCATGACCTTCCGACCCACCATGGAGGAGTTTAAAGACTTCGCCAAATATGTTGTCTATATGGAGAGTCAAGGAGCTCATCGTGCTGGCCTGGCTAAAGTAAGAACAACACAGACCCATTTACTGTACATGCTCACATTCATTGTACTAGTGGTTAGTGCTGGGCGGTATATCGTTTTGTACCGAATACCGGCTTTTATTTTTGTTATGATATTAATTTTTTGAATACCGTACATTCCGGTTTAAATAGCGGAATGTTTCGTMGCGGCCACCCTTGTTTCCCGGGGGACATTTTCCCTTGCTGCACCGCTATGTACGTTAGCATGCTAATGTTTGGAGCAGCTAGTTGCAGCCGCGGGTGGCGATTCCGCTGCTTATATTGACTGACKTTTAAAAAAACATCCCGTTTTCGCCGTCGCTGAATRTAGTAAACACCTCTTCAGTGASGTGCACAGTTAGATTTAACGYGGTTAGTTAATATGGAGATGTTATGCTGATGGAGACTTAACGTGGTTCTATTGTGACAAGCCTGCAGGAAGTAGTTCATAGT